AGTCAAAGGGGCCTCTGCTGAGTGGGGGATCTCATGCCTCCTTTTTTGGGATTACTCCCTCAAAGTTAACATGACTATACCGCTCTTCCTATCTTAAATTTTGCCCAAGTCTGGGTATAGGACTTATAGGTAATCACCAAGCACCCTGAAAACCAGTAAAGTCCAGACAAACATATATACAATATATAATAGATAAGCAACAATAGCACATATACAGATATAAACAAAGATAGGCTCAACCCACTTAGGGATGGACCAGCAAGAGATCAATCTTTCCCCAGTGAAGTCGCCATTTTTTTTGTAGCCGTAGAAATGTTTAAGACTAAGCCATTAGATTGACTAGACTTATACAGATCAAAATAAAAATCGCCACTTCGCTTTATTGTTTCCAAAGGAATGAGAAAAGAGCGAGTAACCCAAAAAGAGGGGGAAAGATTCAAGGTAAGGGGGTTGGTTATGCAAAGGGAAGGTATTAGCACCCTAAACATCTATGGTACTCCACTGAAACCTCTTTGTAAAATCTTTATATTTTGGCTATAAAATTTTGTATAAAAATGGATGGTGGAGGTGAGAAAAGAAATATATTTTTATGGGTTTTTTGCATCCGCCACGGTTGCGAACCATTAGTGCCTACGTACCACCTTTCATGCAATAGGGGATCATGGTACACGTAGTTCCTCTTTTAAAAAATTTAAAACACAAGTGTGTTAGTTAATTTTATGAAATAAGACATCATCGTCATTGTCCGTGTGGAAAACATACTTACTACCCATAATCATGAGAAAGGAGAATTTGCATCCTGTCAAAGTGGAGGATATGGCTTGGATTTTTAAATCAGCAATGCCTCACTCAACACCCAAGTGGAAAATATATCTCTTCACTACACATTGTAGAGGTATAGTTTTTTGCATCACTACAAGGATTGACAAGAGTCCAATCTTTTGAGAAAAGTTTTAAAGTAGAAGCCAAAGTGGCAAAATAGTTTGAAATGAGATTGATTGACTTTTAGTCTTGTCACAAAAATGTCAAGGTATTATTAAGTTGATTGAAGTTTATTTATGAAAAGGTATTGAAAATGCATGGACCTAGGTCCAAGTTTATTATGAAAATGGTTCAAGTTTAAAAACAAGAAGGGTTTTCAAAAAGGAGGGAGAAGATTTTTGAAATTAAAGAAGATGGGAGGAGAAGAAGAGACTATCCTAAAGCATAAGGTAAAAGCTAGGGATAAGAACCATCTAACCAATAAGAAGCCAACACTTGACATTATAATCCAAGATAGAATTCCCATTATTTGGATTGAAACCAAACAAACAAAGATACTAGACTTCTTGAGAGAACCAAACTTCAAGTGTATTAAGTCTTCTCAAAATTTGGGCAGAGTAACGACTGTATACGGGTGAATTCCAGATTACAAACAAAGTATGTAATCACAATAACCTACATACAAAACAAACAAAGAACCAATGTCTTAAGGTAAACCTCAAGAACTCCAGACAAAATATCAATTAAGATAACAAGGTCTCCAACATAGGCCAAGGTTTCTAATCCTAAGCCCAAGAAGTCCAATGTTCTATAATGCCAAGGATAGTATCCAAAAAGTCCAAGTATTATTAAAGGTTTTTATGGTTCATGTTGATTATTAGGTGTCTTTGAAGAGAAAAGAAAAGGCTCAAATCACCAAAATAAAAATGACATGAAATGTAATTCTTAAAGTAAATGGTGCACAAAGCATAAAAAATAAAAGGCATAAAGTAAAAACAATTTAATAATTAGTGGTTAGTTGGATGACCATCTTGAAACTTGCATTTGGAACTCATTAGAGGATTGGTAGAACCAAAGCCTCCACAAAACAAGTTGCATTTGCTTTTTGTCAAGTATATCATCCATTTGGAATCCTCAAAAGTACCATTTAATGATCAATGATGTTTAAGTGATCCGCGTTGGCCAAAAGTGTTGTAGATCCATTAGAGGATTGGTAGAACCAAAGCCTCCACACAATGAATCTCAAGGTTATTGGATCTAAGAGATAAAATTAACATACTTGGGCTTGCAAATATAGGTTTAGGCCATGAATGATAATTTATTTGAATTGGGACAAAATTTAGCGCTATGTTAAGCAATCGTAAGTGGACTTATGTAGAAGTCGCACCTATTTTGAGGCCAGTCAATAGCAATCTATGTACCATTTGTTTTGAGACATGATATAGGGATCATTCTCCAATAACACTTAGTGAAATAAGAAAGGGATAAGATTGTGAAGGGTGGGGAAGAATATACAAACCACATTTGAATTAAAATTTAATCAAACTATTATTAAAATCATTCATCCATTTTTGTGGAGTTAGACTCAACAACATGGATCAAATGATGTTAATAAAGTTGGTGATCAAAAATTCAACCCAAGATTATCCAGAAAATAATCACAAAATAATATTGCACTTAATATATACATTAAAAAGGTTTGTTTTTAATGTTTTAAAATAGAAATAAAAGAGAAAAATATCAACTATGTTCAAATTAATCAAGAAATAAAAAGTAAGACCATAGAAAAATCATAATTGAACTAAAATGATTTTATAAAATTTTTGGTAATTTTTTAAAGTCAGAAAATATTTTTAAAATTAAAAGCAATGAGTAAAATAAACCAAAAATGATAAAAAAAATATCAAAGTCAGAAGTAAAAAATAAATAAGGTCACCAATATTTGTTACAATATCATTGGATCATTCCATAATTTTTTTAGAATTTAAAAATGCATAAAAGTATTTTTAAACATTTAAAGCAATTCAAATAAAGTGAAAATTTATAAAAAAATATCAAAACACAAAATAAAATTGTTAAAAAATAAAAATTAGAAAGAGAAAAATCAAAAGTATTTTTCATAATTTTTTCAGATTTTTTGGACTAAAAAATGAATTTTCTATGATTTTTTAAAATTTAAAACAATTAAATATAAAAATCACAAAAGAAAATAAAGTCAAAAATATGTGGACCATTGGATGAGAGTCAAAACTCGTTAGTAATCAAATCCAAGGGATCTGACGCGATGTGCATATCATGGTCATTAGTGAATAAAGCACTGAATCACATGTAAATCAGAAATTCAAAAAATCCAAATGGCGTTGTTTCATTGGTTGAAGGATGACACGTTGGTAGCGGTGAAAATCGGAGATCAAGCTATTAATTAACTTGACTCGCAAAAGCAAGAGTCGCCATCGCGCTTTATTATTTCCAAGGGAAAAGGGAAAAGAGCGAAATAAAACCCTAAAATATGCAATGTAAAATAATACTTAAAAGTAATAAAATACAATGCGTTTTTGAAAGAGATCGAGAGTTCGGGGGTTGGTTATACAATGGGAAGGTATTAGCACCCAATGCATCTGCGGTACTCCGCAGGAACCTTTTGAAATATCTGTTTTTTGGTTAAAATTGTTTGTTTGATAAAAATGGTTCGTTTGGCTAAAAATGGGTATGGACGAGATTTTGAATATGCGACGACCTAGTGTCGAAGTTTTGTCTTAAAAGGTGTGAGTTTAAAAATTGAATCTTTCGGGAAAATTATCTTAAGTTTGGAAAAATAGTAAACAAGAAAAAAATGAATGAGGCTATTCGCACGATTGGATGAGATGTATTTGATGACGTGAAGTCAACAAAATTAAAATATTTCCCTTGGAATTAAAACCACAAACGGATAAATAAGCTAAGAGTATATAAAACCTTAGGTGAAAATAAATGACAAGCCGACAGCATCATCAAAAAAAAACCTAATGTGAGATAATGCTCCAAGCATCAGATAAAGCGCAAAGGCGGTGGATAAAGCTCACGGTGTCAGATAAGAATCCTTGCATCACAAGAGATATACCGACAAAATCTAACAGCACGGGAAACTTATGTGCGTCCGCACAATTTTCAGAAGTTAGTTGGAATTAAAAATAAAATCACCATGCGATGAAAATAATATTTTCAAAAACCTGAATTTATTTACAAGTAAAATATACAGTCAAAATATTATGTACAAGTATATATTTACAGTACCAAATAAAATAAAAATAATGAAATACAATAAAGAGGTAAAGGGAGAAAGAAAAAGTGCAAACGCGCTATGCGAGTATGAATACTTGAAATGAATTCTCGGAAACCTTCACAGTAACAAACACGTTAGTAGCATAAGCGGTATAAAAATTAAAATGAAACGAAATTGCAATGATCAAAATGTGTGTCAGTAATAAAAAATGAAATTGTATGATGCATATGAATAAATGAATATTTACACAAATGAAAATCAAGGATTCATGACATTATTTAATGTAAACACAAAAATCAGCATTGCATACATGTATTTCCTCAAGTAAACTCAAGAGAAAACGCTATTTCAAACCACAATGGAAAACAAGAATCGAAAGTTCACACTGTGGTATTTCAATCAAATTTGGAGACAAATGATAATATCATCAAAAATAATTATACACATTTAAACCAAATAATTCATCAATCAACACATAAACACACAGTCTGAAACTTAACCAAATAGTGACACTGAATTTCGATACAAAATCAACATAGCCAAGACACCAACATGATTAATATTGTTAGAACTCAAACACTCAGAATCAAAAAATCAAATAACCATATTGATTTCACAACATAATATATCTATAAAATAAACCCAAGAAATGATGATACCGACATCGAAACTTCAATCAGACCTCAACATTCAAATTTAATCATAAATGAAGTGAAATAATAATAAGAATTTCAACAATCAAATTTAGCATGGCATTACATTTAACACTACCAAAAAACAGAAAAAATAAAAGCAATGAATGATACAAAAGCTTACCAATTCAAGGATGGCGATATGTTTATGGAGCAGTCCCGGATTGATGGTGATATGCGAGTGAGTACCGGAAGACAGAACGAACTGAAAATTGTTAAAGTAGTTATCGTCGGTTTGTGACTGGGTCTGAGCGGCTGAAGTTGTAATATGCTCGCTATACCATTTATGTCGTTAATTTCTTTGGCAGCTTCAAACGATTTCTGATAATGGGAATAGGACGGCGAGTGAACATATCTAAAGAGTCACCAATAGACAACTTACCAACCTTTAGATTAAGTTCCTTTACAAGGTTGGGTGTTTCGAAGGCTTTATGTGAACCAACTCCATACAGATCAAAAACAGGAATATGTATTCTTCTGTCATGGAAAGCACAGTCAGATATAATGAAAACATCACCAACAGTAGCTCCTCTGTCCTTGAAGCCACCATCCGTGCCTTGTGGAAACGGAGAGTGAGGATCTTGGATGAGGTGAAATTTATTGACAACAGGTTGAGCCTCTGTCTGCATAGCAATGACGAGGACGATGTTGGAAATTGCTTTGTTGCCGGAAACCTCCCTCGTAACTGATTGCGGACCAGCCATTGCTTTATCACTTTTCCTTCTTCTTGTTCTTCTTTTTCTCTGATTTTGCATTCGATGTTGAAACTTGAGTAGAATCTTTCAACGAGGATGTCCCCACCTTATCATCTTCTCTCACCGGTGTTTCATCGGCAGACTCACCTCCCTGTTGTTCGTGTTCAGAATCGTTGTCGTTGAGAAGATCGAAGGGAGTATGGTGGTGATAATGATGGATCGGCGGAGATGATGAAGGTTGGTGTTGCGGAGGGAGTACGTGCCGGCGAGGGGTTGTAGTGTGCAGACGTAGAAGGTGTGCAATCTGAAGCAGCGGTAATATGTCCATCGAACTTGCCTTTGAAACTGAACCATGAAGTTTATCGTCCATAAATTTCTTCTTTGTTCTTAGATTCAAGTATTGTTGTTGTGAGTTGGTATTTTTGTTTTGGTTAGAAGGAACAGTGAATGATTTCTCTGCATGTTCCTGATCTTTCTAGAGCATTAGGTTCAGAAACACCTTTGTTATCACCGTAGTCGCTGACTTGAATTCCTGATCTTTGAGGATGCTCTTTGGAATTGTTTGCATGAGAATGGCGATAACCTCACGGTATGTCAAAGCATTTATTAAACTTAAACATTAATCAACCACAGCCACAACGCTCAAAATGTGGTTGCACAGTTTTAACAGTTTCTACACGGATCGTGCTGGACCTTCTATCTGCCACTAATCATTCATGTTAGTAACCTAACACATTCCTGAAACATCCTCCTGGGTGTTTGGTGTATAAAGTACAAACGCTGCACAGCATAGCTGAGTCCAATGCATTGAATGCAGTCTTCATCATACATTATTCTTCAGTGTTGGCAGCTTCATTGAACGCGGAAGCCAAGTACTCAGCAAGGCTTGGTTCAGAACTGGGTTTACTACGAGCAGCAGGCGGTCTCTCCCTCTTTGTACTTGTAGATTATGAAGGAGCCCGGGGTTTTGAATTCTCAGGTGTAAATGAAATATTTGAAAAAGGATATGTTGAACACCATATAATAGGTTTCAAACACTTCCATTGATCTTCGATCATGGACCTCTTGTAATATCGTTCTGGACCATAACTTTTGTCTTCATTTGACCAGCGACCATGAGAACCTGATCCTTGTCTACCACCACGTCCTGAAACAGGGCCTCTGGTATTCTGCCAGAAGCCTCTGCCTCGCCCTCGACTAGTGTTAGGACTGTTCCTGAATGCTGGAGAATGGTTTGGACTGTACCCTGAAGAAGGATTTGGAATATATCCGTCAGAATGATTTGGACTGTATCCTGAAGAAGGATCTGGATTTTGGTGAAGAATTTGAGGGTTTGGGAGAATTGGTTTATGTTGTTGTTTTTGTGAATGGTAGTGGAGAGAGAGATTTTGAGTGATGGAAACGAGAGGGGTAAGAAGAAAGATCGGAGGTGAAGATAGAGACTGGTGGTGAAAGTGAAGAGATCCAAGGAGGGAGAAGATGAGATGAGTTTGCAATGGTTTTTGTGTTTCGAATTTCCTTCTTTTCCTTGTTTCTTCCTTGCTAACAAACAAAGACAACAATATAATACTCTCAACTTTGTTTTTTTTTTGGATTTTTTTTCTATTGATCCGCAACTCTTGCTTACAACCAATGAGAGCAAAGCAAAGTGTAACAAACATTTTTTATGACAGAAAAGCCCCTTTGATGATAAAAATAACTTAAAACCTAAAAGTATAAAATATAACTCAATTTAAAATAGTTTTTTTTGAATTTTTTTCTGAATTAAAAATAAAGACACAAAATGACCGAAAACGATAAAAAACGGACGAAAATTTATCTGATAAAATAAAATGAACACATTAAAATAAACTACATGTCACGAATATTAAAGAAAAACAATATTCAAGAAGTCAAAAAATCAAAAATAAAATAATAATAAAAATATCAGACTAAACAAACGTTTAAGGTTAAAAATGAGACTTCGAACTGTACCGAAAAATAAAGCGAGCATACCGTCATAATCTACGCGAAGCGCAGATTCATAAAATGATCGGTAAAAGGTGAAAACTTGAAATATTTTCTCGCTACTTTCCCGCATAGTGTCGAATCGCTTTTAACAGTCTGTCTATAAAACCAAAATATTTTTATTATTGACATATAAACAACTTGGAGCAATGCAACAAATGAGTAAATAGATAAAAATGCATGAAGTGAAATGTCAGGTATTTTACAACTGAAAGACGATGCAAACTTTGATTTAAACTGACTTTTTCTGATCAACTTAAATACGACTAATGATGCAAAATGTGATGAATGAAGATATTTACCAACGATCATGACCAAATGACAAAATATGGTATGAATGTGCGACTGAAAAAATTAGGGGCGACATTTAGGGTGCAACAGTTGTTCCTTGATGAATCAGTCTTCGAGAATCCACAATCAACCGTACTTCTGGCTTGGGAGACTCAAAACCTTAATTGAGGCGCGACACCTGATGCTCTTGATTCAGACCTGTCTCTGCACATGACACAAAAGAAAACATGAACATACACCTTTGTATGCGATTAGAAATTAGTGATGCATAGGCTAAAAATGTTCAAAACACTTGACAATCTTCGCATAGTCAACGCTCGAAGGTGAGAGGTTAAAACCGACCATATTTAGTGACCTTGACTTTTGTATAAAAAATGCAAAAATGCAAGTGGGATCTTAGGTCAAAAATTGGGGTACAACAATCTTCAACCTCCAGCCAGTCCCAAAACCAGGTTGCTCAATCTGTAAAATTAGAGCACGAGACCTATGTCATTCGCTTCATCTCTTCAAGACGAAGACAACCACACCTTCGCGATAAATTTTTATAAACTGTAGCTCAAGCAATTTGGAAGAAAAGTTTTGAAAAGGGATTTGAAATTTCATGCTCAAAACATGTTTCCAAATAAAAGTAAGTGTTGCGACTAGAACCAGGGAAATGAGAGCATCACAATGATATCAAAGTTTTGAAGAATTGATGAAGGAATCTACCTATTGAAGTTGAGTTGCAGAGCTTTGAAACTAGACTTCTATGGAGCAATATAGGGCACGATTCTTGAATGTAATTATATGGTTGCCTTCAGGGAAGATCAAGGAAGGTAAATTGATAGAAAAATCAGATTAAAAAAGGCTTGAAAACAGATTTCAAAGTTGCAGAAATTTGCATTATGGAATAAGTTTGGCATGGTGATTCTGGCTGTCCAAGCTTGAGAAAATGAATGAGGGATGACCCTCTATTTATAGGGAATCAAATGGAATGTCCAAGCTTGTGAATTGATGAAGTTTGGAGGGAAATCGTGTGAAGTTGCAAACAAGAAAAGTGTGACTTCTAATTTGATCAAAACTCATCCAAAACGCGTGTTTTGTTGTGCTAATCACTTATGGAAGTTCACTAAACATTTTTAGAGGCAAAAAAGTGCAGAAACAAAGTGCTTAGAAGCTAAACCAATGATTTCAAATTCTGACTTTTGAAGAAACTTCAGTTCAAAGTTACCAAGTTCAAGTCAATGGCATTCTCAGCTCAAGGGGTCTTAGGGAATGATTCTTGATGCTTTAGAAAGATGATGTTACAAGATTTGCAATGGAAGATAATGAAATCAAATGGATGCTTGAGTTGAAAGTTGCATTGATTCAAAGTTGGAGAAAAAGGGTTGACTTTCCATACTTAGAAATATTTCAAAATTTTCTTCAAAAGTGACCTATAATGTTTTGCATCCAAACATGGTCTTCCACTTGAAATTTTCTCTTGACTAAAAAAGATGGAATGAACTAGACCTTTTGAATGACATTTTTAAACTTTAACCACTCAAAATCTCCAAAAAAATGAGAGAGTTGTGAATTGTTGAAGTTCGCAAAAAATCATGAAATGACCTATAATCTTTTGTATCCTTAGGGAACCTTCCATCCATTTTATCACTTTTCATATAAAATAAGGGATAAATTTCACATCCTCAAGATCATTATGGAAAAATAATGATCTCAAGGTGATAAAAATTGACCAAGTTATGATCATTTGAAGTCACACATGAGAAATTGGGGGTTCATCTGGAGGACTCATAATCTTTCTCCCTCGTCAAGTTTCTTATACATGAAAAATCCTTGAAAATTTTGAAGTGATTTGTTAATAACCTTTTGAAGAGAATGATGTCTTTTGAATCACTCAAAAATATCAAAATATGAGCAAGATATACTTCTTTGAAGTTTAAAACCCTCGTTCCTAGATCAAGAAAATACTTTGAGGAACTTTGCCAATTTTGAACCACCTTCTTGTACCAACACTCTTTATTTGTAAATAGAAGTTATTTAGGATGAAAATGAGAACTCATAGCCACAAAAACCACTTCCATATCTTGATAATTGAGATGAATATGCACTTGTGATTAATGGGAACATGACCTTGTCCAACCATGACAACTTCTTCAATCAATCCCTTGCAATTTTGAATAAATCTTGATAATTTGGAAATGTAGTGAACCAAAATAACATTGCCATGCCATCCCCTCCAAAATAACTTCCATGGGGAGGTTTGGACTTCTCAAGCTTTATTGACTAGGGCATGGAAATAAACTAATAAACCCATGGAGCAACTTGCTAAGCCTCATTGCCTTTACCTACATTATTAACAAGTAATACAAACCAACATTGCATTTTATTAATTAAAATAAAAATAAAGACAAAATATTCATGATCACAAAAGAAAACAAGTCAAGGTGCTTGGTGATTCCTCAAAGAGCAAGGCTAAAGATAGGGGGAACCAAAAGCCCAAATGTGATCTTGTTGTGATTGAATTAATATGGAATGACGAATGGATCTTAGGGTTAAAAATTAGGGTACAACAAACACTTTGAGTATAGTTTTCTATTTTCCATTTTATCTTTATTTTTAAAACAATTTAAAAATCAAGTTGCTTTTTATTTTATTCAATAAATGCAATTTATTTTTTAATATATTCTGACTATGTGATTGTTGATCATGAACTTCATTAACATCATTGGATCTTGGGTGTTGAGTTTAACTCCACCAAAATTGATGGATGATTTTAATGATAGTTTGATCAAATTTTTTATTCAAATATTCCCTTTCCCTCTTCATCTCGTCCTCTTCTTAGTTGTACCACATGATGTTAGAGAATGATCTACATATTATTCCTCTAAACATATGGTACATAGATTGCTATCGACCGGCCTCAAAATATATGTGATATCTATATAAGTCCACTTACAATTGCTTAACATAGCGCTAAATTTTGTCCCGATTCGAGAAATGATCATTTGAGGCCCAAACCTATGTTTGCAAGCCCAAGTATGTTTAAATTGAAACCTTTGATCCAATAACCTTGAGGCTCATTGTTAGGAG